ACCCCTGCCAAAAAAAAAAAAAAAAAAAAAAAAGTAAACATTTGGGCTGGGGATTAGCTCAGTGGTTCCATCGTCCGCCTCGCAAGCACAAGTACCCAAGTTCAATCCCCTGTACCAAAAAAATAAATAAATAAATAAATAAAGATTCACTGTATTTTTGCTCATACCGCATATATGGCTTCCTGGACTTTCTTTTTTTTTTTTTGGTCAGAGTAGCAGAAAACAGAATCCATATGGAAGGCTTGGATTTTAGCTCAATGGTGCCGCTGTCTGCCTCAAGCACAAGGTCCTGAGTTCGATACCCGGTACCCCCCTCAAAGAATCCATATGGTTTTACACTTTTTTAACACTATATTGTAGGCATTCTTTCTTATTAGTACATTCACTTTAACTGCTGCATAGTATTCATTGGTATAGATGTACTTTAGGAAGATAGTTTTAATTCACTCATAAGATCTTTGTACATGCTGTTGTTCACACATGCACAAAAGTACATATGAGAGTAGCCACATTGTAAAACGTCCCTTCATAAAACATGCAAATACTACATACGCAAATAGTAGAGGAGGAACATTGCAAAATTCCCCTTCAAATAGGCCATACCAAAAGAAGTGTCACAGTGTCTCGTTACCCACGTTTTGCCTAGTCTGTTAACTTATTTAGGGCTTTGTTAATCAGGTGAAAAACATCTCAGGGAAGTTTAATTTATATAATGGGAGGCTTTTACACATTTCTCCTGAAATACTGTCTGTTATCTTTAGCTCATGCTAATGAAACCTTCTAACTCTTTCTCTCTGTGAACTAGGAATTTTTAGACCAAAGCGCTATGCAGCTATGCTGATGTGAAATTACAGCGGGAGGGCAATTCTTTAACCCAAAGTCCAGTATTAAAAACAGAGAGACTTGTAATGCTTTTCAGCGTTTGAGCCTGTAGATAACTAGGCATATGGTGTTGGGCATGTTTTAGCCCAGATCATGCAGCCATTAGCGGTTTTCCCTTGACATTCTTCAGCACCTGCAGGAAGAAAGCCTGCAGTCGGGATCAGAGCAGCCCAGTCATTACCTGGCCAGGCATTACCGTGCCTCTGGCCCTGCCTGTAAATTGAGTATTCCATTAAAAACAAGGCTTTCATTCCTCGCCTGCTGTCCTTGGTTCTGCATTGCTGCCTTCACTCCGCCTCTGGGCAGAAGAGGCTGACAGTCCTGCGGACCGAGCGGAGCTCACCCCAGAAAGACTTCAGCGCAGGACGCTGAAAGTGGGGAGCATTTCAAAACCAGCAGTGAGGGGCGACTCCGCCAGTCTAGCCCGGGAGGCTAAGGGGGTTTCCCATCAGAGAAGGCTGTGCGCAGCTTCCGACCGCTCGAGTCCTCTGCGGTCCCGCGTGGGAGGCGCGGAGTCGACTTCGTCCCGGTCCCCAGGGTCCGCTGCTTGCCGTGGAGACCCTCGCCGCCGCCCCACCGACTCAGCCCGTGGCCTGGACTAGCGGGAAGCAGAGCCTGGGACAGAGTCTGCTTTAATCCAAGACATTAACCATTTTTTTACAGTTCATATGATGTGGATTGCTATCATGTAAATGAAACAAGCATTGTCTTCTCCACATCTAATAGTAATAATAATAATATATTATTATTATTATTGCAGTGCTGAGGATAGAATCCATGTTCTCACACATGCTGGTCTCTACTACTGAGTTGTATTCAGAGACTCCTGTCTCCTATCTGAATTTCAGAGTGCAATGAGGCCTATCTCCTAGTATTTGTTCTAAAGAGACAATAGAAAAGTTCCTCACTTAAATGTCTTTTTCACCTGGATGATTCTGCTCACAATACCCTGTAGCCTAATTGCTGTGGCCCCTGGGAAGGAGAGATCACTTACATTAATCTTCAAAAGGATACCAAATTAATGCTGTTATTAAAATCGGTCTATTTCAGTCTCAACATTTACAGATAGAAATACGGCATTAATTTGTTTGTTTTATAGAATTTGTCAGACATGGGTGGGTAAGGTTGATAGGAGCTAAAGGATAAATGGTTTGGAAGGCTAACTGGTTCCTTGGGAAAGTGTGTTTCATGATGTGCCAAGACAGGCAAATATATTTCTTTGATATCTGATATAGTTGGGCACTTATTTGACATTAGAAGCACAGCTATATATCAAATTAGTAAGTAGAAATGATCACATAGAACATAAACTGCTGTATCTCCTGTCAATAGAGTAACTACCTTGAGCAGAGTGCGCACCTGAACGGCGGGGGCGCCGCGGCGCTGGTTGGGGGTCCGGCTGGGGCGTCTAGCTGGGAATCGGGCTGGGGATCCTCGGCCTCGGGCGGTACCGCGCGCGCCCGCCCGCCCTTTGTCTGACGGTGTTGGGGCGCTCAAGTCCCGGCGGTCGGGGCTCCTCGCCAGCTCGGAGGCAGCCGAGGTGGAGCTTTAGTTTGGGAGGCAGGTCCCCAAAGTTTCCGGGTAACCCCTTTGAGCCACCATATCCATTTATATTAGTGGTTTCCCTTTCAATGAATAAAAAAAACACATTTTTATTTTGTGTAAGAACTTTTGATATCCACTGTGATTCAAAAGCCAAATTCAAGACATGACTTCATGTGCAAGAAAAACGGAAGTTTAGAACTTCTTCCAGTGGGTTTTCAACCCTTGACCAGTGAGAGTGGTATGTTTTACGTAAAAATGGGTGTGAGCATCTAGTTTGGACATTCTGGACAGCATTTTTCTTCTAATTAGTGTCAAACTGTGAAATGAGGTAAGACGTGAATGTGCTGTTTGGGTGTGAATTGTGAGGTTTAGTTTTCTGTCTTCCAGATGGATTAAAATTGTTCCATGATGTTGGCCTTTATGAAATGGTGAGTGAGGCAGCCTGAGACCCTGCGTGGAGAGGGCATAGCGCTGGTGCGCTCTGGTGTTGTTAAATGAAAGAGGTTATAATAGCATTTTATGTTACTTTAAAGCGGAAAAAGCCAGCATTTTTGTCTCATTAAAATAAGTGAATTGAAATTTAGCTATGTGTATTTTTAGAGTTGAAATGATTGTACGTACAAGGTTAAGAGTACTTTAGTGTTGGACTGTCATTAAAATTGTGAAGATGCCAATAATAGATTCATTTGAAATTTGGGATACATGAAACAAAATGCATCGGGAAAGGATGGGAAAAACGGCATGAAGTCTTTAAACCTTACTAATTATGAGAATCTAAAATGTTTCTCTTTTGTAATAATAAAATAGTGAAACCCTATATAGCATTGAAACACTTAGTGACTGTTAGGCATCTACAGCCTTTGAAGCCTAAAGTGCTTTTATTGTAGATAGGTAAGTTAATTAGATGTCTTGTAGGCAGCTAGATAGGGCCACCCTCAAGGAGCCAACACAGCAAGGAGGCAACATGGAGGACAATTGAGACATATTCACTGAAGGCCAAAATTGTAAAAGGAGAGATATTTCTATACCTTTGTGCTTCCCCTAGGGATGAATAGCAGTGATTGATATTCTAGTAAAAGCAGCAATTAAATATATGAAAAAATGTTCCACATCACTGGTCATTCGAGAGATGCAGATGAAAACAACACTGAGATTCCACCTCACCCGACAAAGAATGGCTGCTATCAAGAAATCAGACAATAACAAATGTTGGTGGGGTTGTGGGGAGAGAGGACCCTTCCTTCTCCATTGTTGGTGGGAGGGCAGACTGGTGCAGCCACTATGCAAATCAATATGGAGATACCTCGAAGAGTTGGGACTAGAGGTTCCATTTGACCCAGCCATCCCTCTGCTGGGTATCTTTCCAAAAGAATTAAAAGAAACATACCACAGTGATATATGCACACCAATGTTTATAGCGGCACAGCTTGTAATAGCTAAAACTTGGAAACAGCCCCTTTGCCCATCTGTTGGAAACTGGATAAAGAAGATGTGGTTTTGATATTCTAAATAGGTTTAAATCACCTGGGTGGGGGTCCAAGGTCTTAACCCAGCCTTCTTGGAAATATCCCTGACCCCCACCCTTACTGAACATCCTTGTATTCTTGCTATATGACTTGCTCCCCCATTTGACCCTATTTAATCAGTATACTTGAGTGACTGTACTTGTAATCTTGTTGATTGGTCATGTCTTTGCCCCCCACCCCCCACCGCCCATCTTGTAATTTTCCAGTGGATCTTATAGTTTTGTCCCACTTTGTAGGCGCCTCACCACGTGGCTTTGCTGTATAAAACATCTTGGAGAAGTGGGGTGGGTGGGCAACACACTTTCCAGTCCACCTTCTGTTTCTTTCCCTCAATAAATTTTTTCCTACTCTTAACCTCTGTTCCTAGAATTCATTCTTCGATTTTAGAAAACATAAACTCACATTTCGGATATCTAGCAGGTTTGGGAGTTAGATATCTTCTCCCTTATCACTTTTATGGTGACTACTTTGTCATGCAGATGAGAACCTCTAGCATTTTAGATACAACTTATGAAAAATGGTCACATGCTGCTAGTTCAGCTTGTGGATAGACTTAACTAGGACTCTGAACGTACTGGCTAGCCTAGTACTTATTTACCAGCCTCTGAATTAATGCACCATGTAGGGATAGACTATTCTTAGAGCCATATTCAAGCTTTTTCTTTTTTAATTTTTTAATGTTTTTATTTAATTTTTAAAAATATTTGATTTTGCAGTGCTAGGGATTGAACCCAGAGCCTTGCACACTCTAAGCAATGTGCTCTACCCCTCCAGCCCTCAAGCTTTTTGCTTAATATACTTTAAGTCAATATCACCGCTCATATTTATGAGATTCAGTGTGAAATTTTAATGTGTATATTACTTCGTGTTGAGATCATTCATAATCCTCGCTGTGAGCATTTTGAAATACACAACTGCCAAGTTATTCCTCTTAATCACCTGCACTCCTGTATTCATTAACTATTCTCTCTACCCTCCCTTCCTTTCACCCTTTTCAGGGTGGTGATTCTGTCCTTTTATAAGAGTATTCCAGTTTTTTTATTGAGGTAATTTCACTGGAGTCCTAAATCAGAGAATTATTTTTGATGATTTAAATGACTTTTTAGTCTTTGATAATTTTGGGCCCCTAATACTTTGTGCCAACTTTTTTTTCATTTATTTTTTCTTTTTTCTTTCTTTTGTTTAGTCTCATGTGCTGATCTCAGTTCTAAGCTATAGATGTTAAAGGGAAGTTTCAGAGTTGAAGGAAACTTCAGATTTAAAAAAAAAAATCTGTTCATTCTTTCTGGAAAGGTAAACACATGTACTTGTACAAGAGAGATGAGCATGGTTGATGTATTTACCCACTAAGAGCTTTTGACTGGATTTTTTTCTTCAATTTGAAGGTGACTATTAAGAATATTGAAAGAGAGCTCATTTGCCCAGCCTGCAAGGAGCTGTTCACCCATCCATTGATTCTCCCTTGCCAACACAGTATCTGTCATAAATGTGTGAAAGAACTCTTACTGACTCTTGAGGACTCCTTCAATGATGTGGGATCTGACAGCTCCAATCAGAGCAGTCCTCGACTTCGGCTTTCCTCCCCCAGCATGGACAGAATTGATAGGATTAACAGACCAGGTATGTGGCGGAGGAACCTTGGCACGGGCGAGTTGATAGTTATTTGTCCACTTGTAATCGTGGAAGGAAAAACTATTTTTGTCATTTTGAATGTTAATTTCCCAGGTGAACAGATAGTTATAAAGGGTTCGCCTCCTTAAACTGTCAAAATGAACTTGTGGTTATCTTTTAAGAGTGGATGTTAGATATTGAACACCAATATTATGTTAAAGCCCTTAGCTGTGCCTGTATTTTTGAGGATGTTCTGCCTGTGATGTTCTTGATATAAAATAATGGACTACTGAAATACTAGGAAGAATCCACCTATAGCAATATGCAAATAAATACTGCAGAGTTAAGGGTGGCTAATCCTAGAAAAAGTATTTTTAGTAGTGATCTTAGAAAAATTTAAAGGCAAATTGTTTAGTTTCATTCCTCCTGAAAATTTTATAGTTTTAGCCATTTTAAGTCCAGTTTTAAAAATGCAGATTTTAGCTGGGTGTGATGATACATGCCTGTAATCCCAGCACTCTAGGAAGCTGAGGCAGGAGGATTGCAGCTTCAAACCCAGATGGGCAGTGTAGCAAGACCTTGTCTCAAAATAAAAAAGGGCTGGGAATGTAGCACACTGCAAAGGTCCTGGGCCCCCAGTATCACAAAAAGATTTTCAAGATCATAAATGAGCAGAGTTAGGTAATAATATATACAAGTAGATGAAATTTGATGTATAGCAAGCACATATACTGTATCTTTTATTACATGAACAATGTTTCAATTATTTCCTATTGAGATAGTATTACTTTCTCTTCTGCACAGCTATTGCAGGATGAATGTAGATCTAAATCGGTTTAGTACCACTGGAGGTGCTGAATCCTTAGTCTTAAGAGTCAGCAGTGAAGACCAAGGAAATACCCACCCTCTATTTGTGGAAAGCAGTATGAGTGCCCATAAGTCCAGAATGCAGAGCTTCCGTCCTGCTCACTTTGAGCTCTGAGGTGTTTTTTTTTTTTTTTTTTTGGTACCGGGGATTGAACTCGGGTCCTTGCGCTTGCAAGACAGGTGACAGAGCCACTGAGCCAAATCCCAGGTCTGGTTTGTTTTCTTTAAAACAGGTTCTCACTGTGCAGTTCAGGTTGGCTTTGAACTCACTATGTGACCCAACCTGGCCTCAAATTCACAGCAGTTCTCTTGCCTCATTCTCCCAAGTGCAGGAATTACAGGCATGCACTACCACACCTGGCTTAAATTCTGAGGTTTTAAGATTAATTTTTTTGTTCACATTGTTGGTTTATTGCTTCTATAATATAGGAATAACCTTTTAATCTTGTAAATTTTTTTCAGAAAAGAATCTTAAGTTGTATTTTTAAAAATGTCACCTTGGTTTTGGCCCACCATTTGATAGAGTCTCCTTGGGTAGTATTTATATGCTTCATCAAAGAATGAATAAGAGTAATTTGCTTTAAGAGCTTAATTATGCTATTTTAAAAATGTGTGTTCTGCTGGGCATGGTGGCACACGCCTGCAGTCCTAGCACTCAGGAGGCTGAGTCAGGAGGATCTCTGTGAGTTCGAGACCAGCCTGGGATATATAGTGAGTTCCAGGTCAGTCTCAACTACATAGTGAGACCCTGTCTCAAAAAAACCAAAAACCAAAAACAAAACAAATCAACTACATAGTGAGACCCTGTCTCAAAAAGCACCCCCCCAAATGTGTTTTTCTTTACGCATCAATCACTAATTACAGAGCAGATATTTTGGACACATAAAAATTATATGTACAGGGCTAGGGATTTAGCATAGTGGTTCCACTGCCTGCCTTGCAAGTGAAAGGTCCTGAATTCAATCGCCAGTAAGAAAGAAAAGAAAAAATATATACATGTTTGCACATACCAAGAAAAAGAAGGATTAGGCAAGTTGCAAGCGGGAGGGAAATATGAGGACAGAGAGAGTTATGCTCATTGTGACGTCATCACTTTAATGTTCTCCTCTCTGCTGTGAGTGGCACACAGAAGGGGACTAAAGACAGTAGTAAGCTCTTGAGTCATCTACCAGATAAAACTTGATGTTCTCTTGGTAGATCATTGATTAATTGGGGATCTCTGCTTGATTAACCGAAGAAGACTTACATGTTGTATGTTAATGTTCAGGGAGACAATTGAGTTGTGTTTCCACTGTAATTCAGTTGCGCTCACATATTTAGTCAAATCTGTTATTTTATGTAGGCTTTTAATCTTCCTGTTTGGCTACTTTTACACTAGATCTTCACCAAAAGGCTAAGAAGTGGTCAAATTTGCCTCCTTTTGTATGTGACTTATATAATTACGAAGTGAACTATTTCAGTTTTCAGGAACAGACCTAGCACAGTACTCTGAAAGTGCTAAATACATATTTGGTGACGAATCTCTACTACACAATTTATGCAAAGAGCATTCCATAATGTCTTTGTTCAATAATGGTGACTTTTTTTTTTTCCGTACAAGAGCTCCATTTCACCATACATCCCACTGTCTAGATTAGAAATAGAATTACTGAGATGTTCGTTTCCTTCTTGAAGAATTATGTGACATTAGATTATGGCCTGAAGGGAGACAGAATGGTAGAGTTTAAAAAACTTTTCTATGAAAAACAGTTACAGCTAAGAATGTTTAACTTGGTGAAGGGTAACTTCAGATTAATTGCATTGTTGTAGGCAAGGAATGTACTAGCTGTCTTTAGCAGAGGTTCTGGATCAGTGAATAGATGGAATAGGAAGGCATATTTAACTCAGCATTAAATTGAAAAAAAAAAATCTCCTGAAGATCGTCCAGAAATAAAGTGGGCTGCTTAATCGTATCAGATCCCTGTTACTGGAAGTGTTTAAACCCAGTGTCAAATTTAGATGCTGCAGGGGCCAAACAGGTATATAAATGAAGCAAGACCCAGGCATAATAAATAGGAAAATCTCTTGTTTTACTTCTTCGGTATAATAAAGAGACATATTTCATTTTCCCATTAGCTCACCTGCTGAAAAGCTAGCAGTTCAAGTGTCAGTAGCCATTTGATTCTAGGCCTCCCTATTGGAAGCAGACAGGTCTGGCTTGGGACCGTGGAGACCTGTAGGGATGCCTTAGAGAGGGGGCAGAAGCTGCTTGGCACCTGTCTCAATTTCTTCCTCACTGCTGAGACACAATACTCAACACCCACAACTGTAAGGAGGAAAGGTTTATTTCAGCTCATAGTTCATAGTGGTTTCAGTCTCTAGTCGCTGGTTCCAAGGCAGGGTGGAATGGTGGAGAAGGAGCTCATGGCATGGAAGAGAGGGAGAAAGAGGTTAAGTGAGGAGCCGGGAAGAGATGGGCCCCGGCCATGCCCCCAGATCCCATAATCCAATCACCTTCCCAATGCCCCACCTATAAGTACATGAGGCTCTGGGGGGACCTCTACATATAAACCGTAATAGCGCTGATGAATTTTGTGGGGTTGAGTGAACCAGATAGTCAGATTTTCTGGTTTGCCACAAAGCTACTAGTAGTTTTTATGTAAAGTTATTGGGAATTCATTTTTATGGAAAATTCCTGGCAATTAATTATTTAGCAGCACTATGTCAGTTCAACACAGGCACTCTATCCGCACAACTCTGGCTTTGACTGACCTGGCTTCTGGGCCGTCAATGTCTGCAGTTTGATCAAACAATGTATCGGTCTCCACTACCTGCAAATAATATTGGGGAGCTTTCCGCTTCGGGTGGAAAGCTGAGCCAGTGGTTTGTCATCCTCCAGGATCCTCCCCAGCGCTCCAGTTCTGTGTCGTACTGAGTAGCAGCGGCATTCATTCAATCATTTAACAAATATTTGAGAGTCTGCTGGTTATTAGACGCGGCTACATGCTAAAAAGTGAAGAAGATAGATGCACTCTTCCCTTTTTTCTTCTTTTTTGTGGTGCTGGTGATCGACCTCAGGCCTTGAACATGCTAAGCAAGTGCTCTACCACTGAGCTGTATCCCCAGCCTTGACCTGTCTTTTGTACAAAAGCATGTAAGAGCCTAGCAGTGTAGACCAGTGTTCTACCCCTGAACTAGCCTCGGCTTCCATAGGCTGGGATTGTAAAAAGCTTCATAAGAGTTGCAAAAGCACAGTCCTTCATCGGGAATACACGTATATCAAGGTAACAGGTAAAGAAAGGTACAGCACCCAGCAGTAATAATGTTCCCTCTATGGTAATCATTCCTGGAAGTTTTGATCAAGTTAATGTAAATTTTTGTATTGTCCTTCATATGCTCACCAGTTTTAAACTAGAAGTTTACTGTCTTATGATGTTATTTACCTTCCATTTATTGTGCATTTGTCTGAACTTTGTTGGGTAGATTTACAGATTCATGAGTGAGTTATGTGGCTGACCTCCTACTTCTGTTCCTGATAAGATTTTTAAAAAAATCAGTTAGAGCCAGGTGTGCTGGTGCACGCCTGTAATCCCAGCACTCAGGAGGCTGAGGCAGGAGGATCGCTGTGAGTTTGAGACCAGCCTGGGCTACATAGTGAGTTTCAGGTCAGTCTCAGCTACATAGTGAGACCCTGTCTCAAATAAATAAATAAATAAATAAATAAATAAATAAATAAATAAATAGGCTGAGGCAGGAGGATCGCTGTGAGTTTGAGACCAGCCTGGGCTACATAGTGAGTTTCAGGTCAGTCTCAGCTACATAGTGAGACCCTGTCTCAAATAAATAAATAAATAAATAAATAAATAAATGAATGAATGAATGAATGAATGAATGAATGAATGTAAGTAAAAGTAAGTAAGTAAGTAAGTAAGTAAATAAATAAATCTGTTAGATAGGCATGCTTAGGAAACAAACTAAAAGCCCTATATATAGGAATTGGAATGGGAAGGATAGAGTTCTAAAAATCAGTTTAATAATTTAGAGGGAAAGGCTTAATGAAGAATTATATTTGGACTGTACTGTAGCCACTAGCCATATATAGCTATGGAGTGCTTGAAATGTGACTAGTCTGATTTAATATGTGCTGTTGATATAAAATGAACACTGAATTTCAAAGACTTAGCATAAAAAGACTGTAACGTATTTATTGATCAAATCTTGAAATGATAGAATTTGGGGTATAATGGGTTAAACAACATGTAATCAAAATTAATTTCACTTGTTTCATAATGTTACATGGCTATGCTATTGCAAAATTTAAAATTACTTAAATTATACTTTTGACTTATGTATTTCATTTGGGTAGTATTGTTTTAGCCATTTAGTAGATTAAAAAAATAAAAGAGTACCTTGAAGGGATAGTAACAATATTAAATTATGTAAAAATAAATGCCAGCATACATATAAGATTTTCCTCCAATTTGTATTTTCCTGTGGTCAGAAAAAGAATATTGTCTCAATTCAACTTATTTGCAATTTTCAGGTCAGTAAAAAGTAAAAAATATACTTGATTTTACTCCTATTTCCTAGTCACCAGAAATTTGATTATTTAAAAACACAAATCTGCTGGGTGTGGTGGTGCATGCCTGTAATCCCAGCACTCTGGAGGCTGAGGCAGGAGGATCACTGTGAGTTCGATACCAGCCTGGGCTACACAGTGATTTCCAGAGCAGTCTCAACTACATAGTGAGAACCTAGCTCAAAAAACCAAAAACCAAAAAACAAAAAACAAATCTATAGGACAAAGTATAAAGCTCTTAAATACTGCACCAACCATGATGAATTTTGAATTCTTTTTTTAGAATAAATTTTATTTTATTTAATCCCATTCCCCCGCCCCCCCCACATCTGAATTCTAATAAGATAGCTTGAATGTTTTGTATAACTGGCTTCATAAATATCATGTGCTGGTTAATTCAATAATAAGAACTATGTGCAGGACACAGTTACTGCTTTATCTTTTGTTAACAAGTTGTGAATCTTCTCTTTGAAATTAAATTCTAAATCCAGCTTTCTGTTCATTGTTCACAGCATCACAATGGAGATCTTTGGGGTGGAGAGGTAGAAAATGCTTTATTGCTTTTGTGGCTGCAGACAGTATAGCGTTAGATTTAAATTAAATTATCTTGTGTATATATGTGTAAGGTTCTTTAAAATCAGTGGTCAAGTAAGTCTTCAAAATTATGTAGAAAGTTAACAAATTGGACTGATATGACTTAAAGGTCAACAGGACTAAATTTCTTTTTGGTCTTTTTTGTTTTGTTTTTTGTTGTTGTTTCCAGAGATTGAACTCAGGCCCCTGCACTTGCGAGGCAGGTGGCAGAACCATTGAGCCAAACCCCCAGCCCAACAGGACTAAATTTCCAAGCAAGTTCTGATGTTTTTAAGGGGAATACAGATTAACACTTATTTTTGGTTACCGTATACTACACGACATTTCTGAAGAAAATGACATACGCTCCTTTTGTTTTTTTGAGACATAGTATCTGAAAAATCCTTTACATTTACTTAGTGGGACAGAACTTAATATTACTACATTGGGAGTTAAATATATTTAAAAAAACTTGATTAAAGGTATTGATAAAATTTATTGCTAATAATACAATCTTTGCTGCTTTTATACATGTGGTATCTTTGTTGTTAATGTTTTAAAGCATTTGGCATCAGAGTTTTCACACTGAGGTCTTACCCACTTGTGGATAAATAATGTACGTTCCTTTTTTAAGGCTTTTTTTTTTCTTCTACCAGGGATTGAACTTGAGATCTTGTGCTTGTGAGGCACGTAGCAGCACCACTGAGCTAAATCCCCAGTTCTTTAGGCTTTTTGCATTTTTAATGTTTTCTACTTAAAAAATTTTTTTTATTGTTATTATTATTTATTTATTTATTTTTGGTACGGGAGATCAAGCTCTGGGCCTTGCATTTGCAAGGCAGGCAGGGAACCACTGAGCCAAATCCCCGGCTCTTTAGGCTTTTTGAAGTATTCGATTCTATATGAAGAATGAACCAACTTATATTAAATTTTTCTGTTTGAAAAAAACTCCAGTTGACCTTTAAAGTACAATTGGCTACTTTTTTGTGACATACTGGTGAAAACCCTCTATTTAGAGAACAAAAACACCTGAAATGTTATCCCTTTTCTGTTTTCCTCATAGCCTTCTGCATCTTTTGTTTTTAAAATCTTACAGCCACTTCTAGAAGCCATATGTAATTTTTCAGTAAGGCTTTACCAAATACTAGGATTTTAATTGTTGAAATATAGTAATGAGGAGAGACATAGCACTTTTCTTGAAAGAAGTCAATTTTTATTCCCAGTTTTTGATTTAGAAGATAGCTGAGAAAGTTTTTGCAAGTTGCAGAATGCTAATACTCAGAGTGTAAATGAGATATATTGATGTCAGATGGTCAGAATGTGTCAAAAGAAACAAGAAGGTGGCAGCTAAGAAACCCAGCACTGGTGTCCATTGTGGGCAGGAGCAGCACACCAAATGGCCAGGTGGTAGCAGGAGCTGTCTACAGCTGGGATATGCAGGGAGAATGCAGCTACCAGAGGTTTGGAATGTGTTTTGAATTGCCAGTCTTCCCTTTGTTTTTAAATACTTTATTTCTTTCATGTTTAAATGGCAAAATATTAAAAACTGACCTGTTTGGAGGATTTGTTATAAATTCATTTGAGAATGTTTTAAATATTTTAAAACTATTAAATGATTTATACTTTCTGTAAAGATATCTAGGGGAAAGAACAGATTTTGCAAACTAATAATACTTACATACTGTATTTTGCAAATATTATTGGCTCCACAAATTGGCCATTCCTTGGTCTCTATTTCTTTACCTTTGCAATCGATGATTTGTTTTCTTTTTTGCTATGTCATATACTATACCATAGATCTTTCTATGATATGGAAATGTTTAAACCCACATCATACAGTATGGTAGCCAGTATCCCCAAGCATAGCTAGTATAATCAAGTAACTGAATTTTAAATTTTGTTTAATTTTAATTTCAACAGCAACATTGGCTAATTATATTAGATATCACAGGTAGAGAAAGTTGAAAATTGACTCTATTGCATTTTAGTTTCATTGTTTTTTTTTTATTAGGTTTACTTCCCAGAATAGCCATAATCTGTCCTGTTTTCTTTATTTCCTAACCTTTATTGTATGTATTTATAAAAACAATGGTAGAAGATAGATGAAGTATGTTCTTCAGCATTTATAAGAAAAATTTGAATTTTCAAGATCTGTTTAGAAAAATAGCCACATGTTTATTCAAATAAGTGAAGTAATATTCACTTATTTTTTGGTACTAGGGGTTGAACTTGGGCCCTTGCACTTGCAAGGCAGGCAATAGAACCACTGAGCCAAACCCCCGGCCCCAGTATTCACTTCTTTATTTAATATTTTGTCTGATTTAAGTCTTATGTGATACTTTATACTTTATTTTTTTACTGTAAAAATAAGTTAACCAAGGTTTACAGTAAAGGGATTAAACATCTTTTTTTGTTTTTTTGTTTTTTTTACATCGAAACCTGAAGACCAAAATTCGGGTGTCACCAGTATACATATTAAAGCATGACTTTGTTGTCATGATTTAGTTTTGTTTTATCTCATTATTTAATTGATCACAGCCATCATAAAACCAATACTAATCTCTCCCCATTAACATTGACTGTTGACAGGAATTATTCATTTAAATTCCCATCACCTAGTTAAAGTACGGAAGCATGCCATTAATTGTGAATTTTCATTTGTTTAAACTTGACCACTGCACTGTATCATTTCAGAATTGTTTGGCTTGTTTTTCACTAAATGAAGTTTTCATTGGCATGTGTTTTACAAGTAGCTTTGCTGTTTATTTCATGATATGCCTGCTGTGGTGTGAAATATCTTGGACTGTATTGCATGTGCTTAGTATCATCACAAGAATATATGTAGGGTGGGATTTTGAAACTTGTGGGGCTGTTATTTCATATGTATAATATTAAGATGTCTTTAAATATGTGAAGATGTCTTAAAGCATTCTGCATGTTTGTTGCATAAACAGATTTTGGGGCCCAATGCTGTCCTGGCATGATATAAAGTCATTTCAAATAAGTGGCTGATTGCTGAATTTTACCTTTAGTGATATCAAGCCAGGAATCTTTTAAGATACTCTTGGAGTGATGATAGTAATGTGCAAAGGCAATATTAATGTAGCTACTTAGACTTTTTCTAAGTTGTGGTATATTAAGTTTAACCATTCGCTTTTGCTACTAGATATATGGTAGCATGAAGGAAGGCTGTTGCTTAGGAAGTTTGTGTTTATATTAAGGGAGTTATTTGGGGACAATCAAGATTACATAATCTGTAATACATTTTTAAATGAGAGGAAGGGGTCTGATATGCATGCACCTACGTTAAGTATATAACATACTTGGATTCCTGTGAAGCAGTGGGTGAGAAATATTGGCCTAGGTTTCTTGATTTGTTAAAATCAGGATGATAACACTGAAAAAAGTGATGTTTAAGGCCATTCATTGTATTATATACATATTGTACAATTACTTGCGTAACATGTCTAACTGAAGTAAATAATCTTAATGATTCTTTGTTTCAGATCATCAGAAGATACTAAATGGTTGATCCCTCTTAAAGTTGCTACAGTCTAGGTTTATGAATGAGTTTTTCATTCCTCTGTAGATTGCACTTAACTAATGATCTTGCCTACTGAATTTTTCAAGATAAAACAATACTACAGTGGGAAATCTCCTGAAGAGGTTCTTTAAAATTTTCATATATTCACATATTCCTTTGAGAATCTTATAAAATTTAAAGTTTTTTTAACCAGAAAATACACATGTAGACAACTTTGCAGAGCCTATTCATAGGGGCCTTACTTCTTCTTAGTTAGCTAAGGCTGTTCATCTAAACACCTTTGGATGTGGTGTATAAAAATACATGATTATGAATGGTTCTGATCCACATAGTATTGGATAACATACTTTATATTTGGGAATAGTATGTGTTCTATATGGGATTTACTGTAGGATTTTTCCCTTTGATTTGGTAACTATTAATTTGAAAATGCTTGTCTTTTGTATACTAACAAAATAGTTTTCAGAGAAACATTTTCAGAATACACATTGTTTCAAATGGAAACTCTTTCCATACCTTGTTTTTGGAACATATCTCTCTTTCTAAAACATACCTCCTCTTTTTAAAATTCTAATTATTTTCCTACTGATGTAACTAAACAAAGTACTTACTAATTATGCAGGCTGGAAGCGAAATTCATTGACTCCTAGGACAACTACTTTTCCTTGCCCTGGCTGTGAACATGATGTGGATCTTGGAGAACGCGGAATCAATGGTCTCTTTCGAAATTTCACTTTGGAAACCATTGTTGAGAGGTACCGTCAGGCAGCTAGGGCAGCCACAGCCATTATGTGTGACCTTTGTAAGCCACCACCTCAAGAATCCACAAAAAGTTGCATGGACTGTAGTGCAAGCTACTGCAATGAGTGCTTCAAAATTTATCATCCTTGGGGTACTGTGAAAGCTCAGCATGAGTATGTGGGCCCCACCACTAATTTTAGACCCAAGGTAAGTTAGAATATTACACTTATTGTTACAGAATAGGTTATTATGAGGCTAAAACTGGACAGAAAGAAACATTAAAAGCAAGTATAAGGATTTAAGGCCTCAACTTAGTAGGAGTTACTTAGGGGCTAAAAATCACCATGGAAGGTAAAATTGGTGATTTGTTGTATTACAATACAGTGTAATACAATACAATAAATGAGTTTTATAATGATACCTTTGAGTAATAGAAATGTTGTGTCTAAGATTTCATGGCTAATGTTAAAAAGCTTTTGTGTTTCAGTGTAATAACCTCATAATTACCTCATTTTGATTGTGAAACATTTTTCTGATATTTAGTTAGATAACATTGTACTTTGAATAAAGAATAATTATAATCTAGTATTTTGAAGCTTGTTATTATAATGATTATATAATATCTGAGGTGGAATGGAATCTGCATTTCTTTATCATTCTGGGCAATTTGTTTGGTAATGCTAACAACAACTTTGTGTATTGTTGTTTGCCCTGGTATGTGACTGAAAAGCAGAATGATTATTGGATATATTCACTTTATGATGTATGTAGTTTAAAAAACTATGAATGATTCTTTTAAAGTCTTCATTCCTTACAATTTAATGACGTGTAAATATGAATATGTAATTGTACTCTTAAGCATAAATCCTCTAATTTTTAGTAAAAAAGGGGCGATCTCAAAAGTTATCTTGAAATAGCTGAGTGTTTCTTATATCATATTAAGTATATGACTGGTAGATTAAAAGAACAATAATATATGCTTCCATTTTTTTTATCTTACTGAGTTTATTGGTACTTTTTAAGTGCTTCCACATTTTGAATGACCTTTTCCTTAAATTGTTTGGCTATAGATTTATCAAATAGCTTAATTTTTTTTTTTTTTTTTGAGACAGGGTCTCACTATGTAGTTGAGCTGAGATTGACCTGAAACTCACTATGTAGCCCAGGCTGGTCTTGAACTCACAGCAATCCTCCCCGCTCAGCCTCCCAAGTGCTGAGATTACAGGGGTGCGCCACCACGCCTGGCTCAAATAGTTTAATCCTCTTATGTTTTCATCTCATTTTAGATATTCATAGCTATTGAATTTTAAAAATTTATGATTTTAACTTTGTTTCAATCTTTCTTTTACTTATTTATTTATTTATTTATTTAGGCTTTTTGTCTTGGGGTACTGTGAAAGCTCAGCATGAGTATGTGGGCCCCACCACTAATTTTAGACCCAAGGTTTTTTAAGATGGAGTCTCCTGTGTAGTTCAGGCTGGTCTTGAACTCAACGTGTAGCCTAGGCTGGCCTTGAATTCACAGCAGTCCTGCTGCCTCCTCCCTCAGCCTCCTCACTGCTAAGATTACTAGTGTGCACCACTATACCCAGCTCTCAGTGTTTCATTTAAAGGATTAAATTTGTTAATATTATTTGATTATGAAGGGACAGATTATTAAATGAGTTATATTAGGTTTGAGGTTTTGTGAGTTAAGGATTCATGAAATTTTGTGTATAAATTACATTCCTATACTTTGTATTTTACAAATACAATGGAAGATGGATAAGAGAAGCAAAGAAACATAAATAGGATATACTGAGAAAAATAGTTTTTACCATCAAATAGTTTGTGTTACTCCATAGAGTACAATTCTTAAAAGGGGTAACCCTTGTGTTATAGGATATTTGCTCATGAGTCCTTTTAATCATTTTTTGAGAAAATACAACTTTACATTTTATATTAAACATAATAGCTTTGAGAATGTAAAAATTTAGACATTCTGAAAAACTTAAAATCATTTCCAATTTTTTTGCTCTGAACCTGTGTTAGGATTTAACATACTCAGCTGTTTTTTGTTTGGTTTAAATATCTGTAAGTTAGTAGGCTATTTATAGTTGCTAAAATTGAATCCATTGGCATGACAAAAAACTTTAATTTCATTAGTGTACTGAATATTCCCCTCATGTGAAATTGAAATGATTATTTTTACTTTCACTTTCAAATGTACCTACAGTGATAATTTGTAGAATAAATAAAGGTGTAGATGCTTAATCAAATGGGAAAACTGAGTTGGTCTTTTTGTTTGTAATAAATTGGCAAGAACTAACACCTCAGAAGCTTACATCATAAAGTGTTCTAAGGTATAACGGATGTTGTAAAAGCCAACACCTTGGAAGCTGACATCACAAAGCATCCTAGGAGTCTCATAGCAGCAGAGTGCTCTTAGGGATAGTTGCATTATAGATTCTCATAAATTCTGAAACCTTAGAAAAGTGATTATGATCTCGAATATTTACCTACTCAGCGTCGTCAGAGGACTTTTCAAACTTGACTTTTTTTTTTTGTACTGGGGATTGAACTCTGGTCCTTGCACTTGCGATGCAGGCAGCAGAACCACTGAGCTAAATTCCCCAGCCCCCTTTTCTGACCTGATTAAACATTTCACTTGCATCTAACTTTTACTTTATTATCACCAAGTTTAGGAGAAATAATAGCTATGTATTTAAATTGAAAAATCCAAATTCAAAAATGGTAATTCTAATATAGATAATATGTAGTCTATCAAACTTTTTTATACTTTTATTCATTTAAATGGCTTTATTGAATTTATAAAGCAAATGCTATTTATATTTTAGTTTTTTTCAGATTGCTTGAAACAAGTCCTTAATATCATATTTTTATTCTTTATTCAATAGATTTTAATGTGCCCAGAACACGAAACGGAGAGAATAAACATGTACTGTGAGTTATGTAGGAGGCCGGTTTGTCACCTCTGTAAGTTGGGTGGTAATCATGCCAATCACCGTGTAACCACCATGAGCAGTGCCTACAAAACCTTAAAGGTAGAGTTTGTTTAGTTGTAGAAAATGAATTTTAATTCTTTGTAATTTTACGCCTTAGGTTTTTGTTCCTGAAATCATGGTTTATGTTGTAGTCTGTTTTACTGAAAGGAGTTAATGATGTGAAGTGTTTCTTACACTAGTTTGCCAGTGTTTCTGAGTGATGGTTCTTTGACCATTAGATGTCAAAGCCTACACTGATAGAATCTCTCAGGAAGACAGGAGGGTGAAAAACACTTTAATGTGATCCTTCAGTGACCCCAGTGCCTGTGATATTGAGGGTGTGAATAAGAAAGACACTTTTTGAAGGACAGTAGCTATTTTTGAAGAAACTTGATTCTGGAGAATTGGTATAACCTTTTTTATATATTTTGGTTGGGATTCTTACTAGCTAAAACTGAATTACTTTCTCTTTGTTGATGTTATACAAGACCATTTAAAATTTTCATGCTTTGGCTGGGGATTTAGCTCAGTGGTGCCACCGCCTGCCTTGCAAGCAAGTGAAAGGTCCCGAGTTCAATCCTCAGTACCCCCCCAAAAAAAACCCCAAAAGCAAAAACTTTCATGTTTGATAATGAGTAGCAAAATAGGTAGTGGTGTCATACTGCTGGTCTCATTCTCTTTTCATTTAAACAATATTTTTTTAAATCCACAAGTAATACCACTCTTTTAAATTATTTCGTGTGTGTGTGTATGTGTGTATAAAATGTGAAACCACCAACAGTATATACAATATACACGTTTCTATCCTATATCTAATTGCATATATACTTGCTTTTGTATTTTATATTACATCATGTTCAGTATTTACTCTGTCTTCCTTGAACATGTGGAATACAGGTGTAATTGTTTTATTGTTCTTGTCTACTAATCCACCTATGATGCTTTTTTCTTCTTCTTATACTTCGTATTTCCCTGCTGATTTGCCTGATGGTAACCTTTGACTGGCTGGAGGTATTGTAAATTTCACCTTGTTTGGTGCTGGATATTTTGTCTTCCTGCAAATATTCCTGAGTTTTCACTGCATATGTGACTAGTTTTGGAAACTGTTTTGGGTCTTCGACTTAAGCTTTATTAGGCGGGATAGAACAGTGTTTAGTTCTAGGGCTAATTTTACCTGGCTATATAGGTAAAAACCTTTGATTACGCTTTCTGATGTCCTGTGATTTTGGCTTTTTCTCTTTGGCTAGATGCTGGGATTTGGGATTACTCCCAGTCCTGTGAGCTCTCATCCTTTGGGTAGTTCTTACTGTGGCTTCTGGTCATTTCCTTATATACATTAGTTGATCATTGCTCAGCTTGGTACATGCCATGGCTAGTGTCTAGATGTACCCACAAAGCCTCATGCAGTCTTTTTCAGAGGTGGCTGAATTTGGAATGTGTGATGCTAGGATTAAGGGCGTGTGATTATTAAACCACTACATGTAAGGGATTGGTAGTTTGGATGGGATAAAAAGGACAGAAAGACACTGTTAAGGTCTCTTGTTTCTTTGCTATCTTTGGTCTGCCATAAACTGCTGCCCCTCTGCCATGTGCCAGCCTGTCTTGGGGCCAGCTGATTATGGACTGCAGCATCTACTAATGGTAAGCCAGATAAACCTTTCCCCCTTTAACCTTGGGTGTTGGGTATTTTGTCTCAGAGAGAGAAGTAACTAAGACAGTACATCTTTGCAGTACTGTATTTCTTGGTGTTAGGCCTTAAAATTACTGGGCTCTCCAGGCTCCAGTCTCATTGTCTGTACTCACAGGAAACCCCAGGCTCCATGTGATTTCTCAGCTGTGCTCAGCCTTGGAAATCTTTTCCAGACAGTAGTCTGTGGCAGTCATAGTTCTCATCTTTCAGGGAAAAGTCTCCCCTTTGTTTTTGAAGTCCTGTATCTTGAGAGCTGTTTTATATATTTTGTTAGGTTGATTCAAGTAAGAGAATAAATCCATTCTTTGTCACTGTCTCATGCCTTGACAACATGCCGCACATATCACTGTTTGTAATTAAACTTTGTCTTTAACATTTAAGTTTCTTACAGGTGTAATCTTAAATAAGTTATGTTTTTTTTGGTTTGTTTTTTGGTATTGGGGATTGAACTAAGGTCCTTGTGCTTGCGAAGCAGGCAGCAGAACCACTGAGCTAAATCCCCAGCCCTAAGCTATGTGATTTTTTTTTCTACTACTTGTCATAGGTCTTTGGCAATAGTGTACATTTAAGCTATTGCGTTGGAAAGAACAGCTGTGCTTTTCCTCTGCTCTCAGATTGCAGCAGTCAACACAGAAGGCTTCTGTGACCTCAAATAATGTGGAACTCTCATCCCACCAGCAAGCAGTCAGTTAGTTCTGTGTCATACACCAGCTGTGGCCTCTATTCACTTCATTCTGACCCTGTCTACCTGGAGTTAGCATCATATCTCACAGGTTGAGGGCTTAGTACCCAGGACTCCCCCTCCCCGCTTCAGGTGCCATTCAAACTCCAAGTGACTGACTGTAAGTCTGACTAAGAAATGGTCACTGAAAACCCTCTCTGCAGATTCATTTGACCTGAGTGGCTCACAGAAGACAAGGAAACATTTATTTACATTTCTTGATTTATCAGAAAGGATATTACAGAGGATGAACATAGGGCGTGTAGGCCATGGCAACCCCATTCGGTTGTGCCACCCTTTAGGGGAACCCCTTGTGCTCTGCCATCTGGGCGCTCTCCAGCTCCTGCCCTTTGGGCTTTTTGTGGAGGACTGCTAAGGCTTTGAAGTCCTGTTTTGCCTGAAAAAAGGGGCTTGGTTAGGTATTCACTCTCTCCTTCAGTCTGGCCACATCTCCAGGTAATGCCTTTCCAAAAGCTATTGACTACAGAGAGGAGATCTTGATTGCTGAGAAGGAACAGGACAATAGAAAAGAAACTAAGACAGAATTTGGTGCCAGAAAAGTGGGGTCATTGCTGTGACTGTACCTGACCATTTGGTTGAGGAGCCTTTGGAGCTGGCTTGTGGTAGGGGGATGGGTTAGGAAAAGTTGGAGATACTGCCTAAAAAAATAGTTTGAATGCCTGAGACTGTTCATGGGAGATTCTGGTCAGAGTTCAGAAGACCAGCATGCTGCTAGAAGAAGTCCTCTTGGCAAAGACCAGGCTCAGGAGGATTCTGCTGGAAAGGACTGTGTTGGCTGTTGGACTCCAGGCAGTGTGTTTTATATCTTGGCAGAAAGTTTGTCTGCATTTTGCTTGTGCCCAGAAACTTTGCCTGAGATTGCGATTAAGGTTGGCAGACTATTCTTGCAGAAGAAATTTCAAAGCATTCTAATGTTGGGGCGGAATTGAGTAGATTGCCTAGCAGAATGATAAAATGTTGTGAGTTTGGCCAGAAAGTAAGCTCCAGTAAAACTGGACTGCAAAGATACAGCAGAAGAGATCTTGATTGCTGAGAAGGAACAGAAGAATAGAAAAAGCTTGCCTGAGGACATCACAAGCACCAGCAGGACTCCAGTCTTTGCAGCCTTAAACTTACAAAAGTGAAAGACTTGCTTTGAGAAGAAAGCCCCAGAGCACCATGTTCCAGAATGGAGGTATCCTAGGGAAGTTGTTTCTTGGGATTTGGTTCATAGGCTCTAGACCCTTACAGCCAAGAGAGAAGGAAGCCTGGCTACTGCTCCAGCTGTCAGCAGACCTTGGCATCATCCATGTGGTGCCGGCTTTAGGTACATGAAGAATGGACAAGTTGTGGGGGAGCCCAGACAGTATGCCTCTGAGAGGGCAGCATGTGAAGCTGAAGGTGCAGAGGTGACTCCAGAAATTTGGAGAAGCAGGAGTATGGATCTTCTGTGGAAAACTGTAAGGAGAGAACAGAGCTTGCCTAAGAGAGAAGCCATAGGAGCTAAAATCACTAGAAGTGCTGTAGGGTCAGAGCCACCGAAGCCCTTTGGAGTTCATATCTTGCCACAGATTATACCAGAAGCTAGACATGGAACTATAGGACTTAATGTTTGCCCCGCTGGATTTTGGACTTGCATTGGGCAGAATGTTACAGCTTTTGCCTAGATGTCCCTTCAAAGCCGCATGCCGTCATAGGTGGGACTTTTTCAGAGTGTATGATCTAGATCTAGAGTGTATGGTGCTGGAATTGATTTATGGTGCAATGCTAAAATTAAAGGTATGAGTGCTGCCTGTCTTAAGGGTGGGTAGCCTGGATGCAGTATAAGGTACAGAAAGAGACTTGTCAATTGCAGCTTGCTTTTGCTGTCTTCTGCCTACTATGAACTGTTTTTGATTCTGTGATGCCCCTCTGCCTTGCCACCCATTCTTGGAGCCAGCCAACTATGAACTGAAACCTCTGCAAACTGTAATCCAAATAAACCTTTTCTTCTTTAACTTTGGTTGTCGGGTATTTTGACTCAGCAACGAGAAAAGTAACTAAGACAGGAGTGGTCTTGGCAGTGGGCAGGGAGCTCCCATCCCCTGTCTGGTTATGACACCCTTTAGGAACCCCTTGTGCTCTGCCAGCTTGGAGCTCTTCAGCTCCTGCCCTTTATGGGTTTTATGGAGGACTGCCAAAGCTTTGAAATGCTGTTGTACCCAGAAAAAGGGGTGACGGTTAGATATTCTCTATGTTTCCTTCGGTCTGGCCGCATCTCTAGATGATGATTTTTTTTTTTTTTTTTTTTTTTTTTTGCACCACGGGTAGAACTCAGGACTTGGCACTTTTTTCATTAAGGAGAATTGGATTTGGGCTCATCTTAATTTTGCTAGTTATATCTGTAGTAGTTAGTAGACATTTTACTGAGCAGTGATCCTAAGGAAGTTTTGCTAGTTTTGTTTCCCATTGATAATTTCCATAGACTTCTAAGGAGGACTTAAAGCTCTTGTTCCTGTGCTATTATCTTGTAGAATGATAGCTTTGATTTTAGACAAGTTTATTAACTAGTATCTGAAAGAGAAAATGTAACTATTTTTATAAACTCTTCTCACTGAATAAGGAAGTAATTAAAGCATTTGTATATAGGGTATGTGACTAAAGTGTGTCATACCCTTTCTTCCCAATATTTTATTCTGAACATTTCAGAGATAGAGCAGAGCTGATAGCATCTGTAAAATTGTGTGCCTTGGGGCAAGGACCATATCATATGTATTGCTCCCTTAGCCTGCTTACTTAAAAGATATTTAGCATGATTATTGATGACTCTTTCTTCCTTCTCCCTTGGCTTATTGACTCTGTTTCTTTTAAACCTTTGGTTGTGGACATGATAGACAGAAGGAAGTAGTGGTTCTCGAACTTTGGTGGGAGTTACCCTCACTTGGGGCACTTGGTACAACTACAGAGGCTGTTTCTGTCCTCCTTCATGGGGCCTGGGCCTCTATGTTCTTCATTAGTAACCAGGAGACTCCGAATCACATCACTGTTTGAAAGCCACTGTTCCATGGGAAGGCTTTTGAGCAGTTTCGGAGTCTCAGATGAGTTCCATGATTTGTTTAAAACTGCTTTCCCCATTAGGTGAAATTCCTGTGGCTAAGGGAGCTTGTCTTTTTTACCTTTTTCTTTTATTGTCAGTGCCTAGTATTGGTGTGTGATACTCGTCTGTTTTTTGGAGTCCTATGAATGAATGGACATAGTGATTCTTGGTTATAGTATATCTAATCATTTAAAACAGACCGCCTAGTTCTGAGAGCAATAGGAAGACCAGAGCTGTCTCAGATAAAGAATAGGTGGCGGGAGTCCATCTAAGCATTAAAATGAGTGAATGATGGTGTTTCTAAGTTCTGACATCAGTTTCTTCTCTGGTTCTTAGCTCCGTGAGTCAACTTATCCTTTTTTCTACTTCTAGTTTGAGTTTAGAACTAAGCCCTACTTACAATTAAATGGGAAAATTTAGCTCTTTGCCACTGTAGTTTAAAAAGACCTGTACCTCATGCTTCTGATCCCAGTGTGGTCCCAGGAGGGATGGTGCTGTGGTAGAACTGTCATCGGACTTGCAGCCTGCTGCTAAAGAAACACCTCTGCCTGTGGAACAGTGGTCAGTGGTTAGTAGGGGGAGTAGGTTTCTAGTTCAGCTGTTTAATAATGGGGCATTTGCACTTGTATGTTTTGGCTTCCTCATCTGTAAAATCTTTTGTTGAGACATAAAATGTTACACCCTTTCTTACTCTTCTCATTGTGTTATTTCTTTTTCTCTTTTTCTTTTTTTTTTTTTTTTGAGACAGGGTCTCCCTATGTAGTTGAGACTGACCTGGATCTCACTATGTAGCCCAGGCTGGTCTAGAACTCACAGTGATCCTCCTGCCTCAGCTTCCTGAGTGCTGTGATTACAAGCGTGTGCCACCACGCCCGGCTTGCCATTTCTTTCTTGGTCTCATCTTGCCTGTAGTACCCAGAAATCTCATTCCTCTGCCTGACAGGTTCTCCCTGTCTTGTCAGTGAGCCGTCCGGAAACACACTGTGATTTCTGGGTGTTCTTGGGAAATACAGACGACTCTTGCAAAGCCTGTGACTTGTATTTTTGTGTATATTCTCTCTTCCTATTATGTGGTCCAAGTAAAAGAGGAAGATAATATGGGGGGAGACTCATTTCTTCAGTTCCTAGAAGCTGAGTCTCTCTTTGTTCCTTTTTTTGTGCCCACCCTTCCTACTTCAGTGCTCAGATCCTGTTAGGGTCACAGCTTTGCAGATGTTTCCTAGGTGTTCCTCTTCAGACTATGAACACGTTTGTTTGTTTTAACTTTTTGTAAGGTGCTTTTTCAGGGCTTTTGTTCTTAATAATATAGGAAAATATCACAGAGTATGTTTTCTGGGCTAGACTAGGGACCTCACCAAAACCCATGATACCATTTCTATATGAAGTCATTTAAATTTTGAAAAGATTACTTTATACTTTTTTTTTTTTGTACCGGGGATTGAACTCGAGCCCTTGTGCTTGCGAGTCTGGTGGCAAAACCACTGAGCTAAATCCCTGGCAAAAAGATTACTTTATAAACAAGTTATCCAGTAAATTTTGGAAATGGCTTATTTTTATAAATCTGTATTTTCATTAATGTATAATTTAATGAATATCTAGATTATGTTGGACTGCTTTTTGTTGCTTTTCCTGTAGGGTATGGTGTGTGCATATAGGTGTGTATGAGCATAAATTATAAAGTCTGATAAATGGCAAGACGAGACTGTTGCCTTTATTTACTTAGATGTCTTAGGAAAAAGAGTTCTGAGGGTGATAATGAAACAACAAAAATTTATTATTTGTATACGTGTTTAGAATTTTGAATAATCTCAGCATCACTACTTAATTCTTTTTTTCTAACCTACTTTTAATTTTCTATATATCCTTGGACCTTTGTGCACAAGGCCAGTAACTGTTTATCTTGGGCTAATAAGTTTATTTTATTTTGGGGGGGCTAATAAGTTTAATCACCATATCTGATTTTACTGTCTGTCATTATAGAGGATGAGTACTGAATAATTTTTTTAAAAGTCACACAAGGGCCTTTTGCTAAATTTTGTGCTATGAATATGTTTCAACAGGAAAAGCTTTCAAAGGATATTGATTACCTTATTGGTAAAGAGAGCCAGGTGAAAAGTCAAATTTCTGAACTAAACTTGTTAATGAAAGAAACAGAGGTAAGTAACAAACTAGTTTGCATAGTTTTCATTTATATATTTTGACATGCGTTTATTTGTTCATAAAATCCTAAGGCTGTTTTATGAGCTGGGTACAGAGTTGTGTTAGATATTATTTCTTCTTTTCTGGGACTAGGGAAACAGATGTAAAAATAAATGATGACACTATATCATCAGTGTCGTGATCAATCAGTGATTAAATAACACTGGAATATAGAAGAAAGAATGATTATAAAATAAGTAACAAAGTCTCGAAAGAAAATAAGGCAATAATGGAAATGATAGTTTTTGCTATTATAAGTATTTTTAAAAATGAGCAAATTGCTTTTGAAAAATGTACTCTTGTTTCCAGGTAATCCTGACTGTATGTTCTACTTTTGTTTACAAAAAGACTCAAATTAGAGTGTTCATGACTGTAGAAGTTGTAATAATTACAAAGTGGAAACTACTCTGATACAGTATCCATAAACAATGGAATGAAAATCGAAATAAGGATAAATCATCTACAACTATACACAACAGTGTAGATGAATCCTACAATGTTGAAAGTAAATGCCAGATACAAAATAATATATACTATATGATGATATTTATGAGAAGTGCCCAAACACCTTCACCTGGTGATACATATCTCTGATCTCAGCTATATGGGTGGCTGAGGCAGGAGGATTGCAAGTTTGAGGCCCATTTGGATAACTTAGTAAGACCTTGTCTCAAAATAAATGATGAAAAAGTGCTGGAGCTATAGCTCAGTGGTAGGGTACCCCTGGGTTCTATTCCCAGTATTTACTATTCTATGTATTAAGTTATTTTTTCCATGTAATTTAAGGGGACATTTTTTATATTGTCTGATTAAATAACATTCACTCGGTTTGATTTAATTTCCCAACACAAAGTAAACTACTACCTAGATAGTAGTTATCTTCAGGGTTTCTATATGTTTGGTCCTTTTCAGTTTATCATTAACCCCATAGCTTCCCTCACTCATGCTGCCTTTACTTCTGAAATAAGGGAAACAAAGCATTTGTTTTTGGGTTTGTCATCCACTAGGTAAAAAATTGAGAAAGTCAGGCATTAAGTGTTTATATAGTAGGGCTGTCTTCCTGAACTAGAGTGAGACCAGAGATGTTGAATGTTAAATGTTTTCTGCCTTTGGCCTGAACTGCATTTGTAGGTTGATAAATCCGCCTGCTAAGTAAGTATCTTGTGCACTGGAGAATTTATCTCCTTTTTTGACTTTTATTCAATGACAATGGTGACACTATCTTTGCTCCTGCAATTATCCTTCACCAGAAAAAGGTCTTTTTATCTATGTATAGTGATGTTTCTGAGCTTAATGTGATATGACGTTGAGATTCTGTCGAAGTATCCTGTCAAAGTCTTTTTCTGCTCCTTTCCTTTCTAAAAAGTGTGTGTGATTGTTGGAGCTGGGAAACAGAGAAGGGAATCTGGAAAAATTATCATTGTACATGTTGGCCAGAAGCCATTGGCAAATGCACAGTGCATTTCTGCCATATATTGTCAGTGTTTAAGAATATTCTTACAAATTAATTTTTTGGGTCTATTAATGATAAGTGCTTATGAGTGCTGTGCTCATCTTGCTTACATTATTGTGTCAGTCTTCTAGGACGGCTACAACGAAAAACTGACCATACATGAGTGGCTTAAATAGCAGAACTTGAGCTCTGCTTTTACAGGGATTCAAAATATTTACTAAATATCCTACAAAGAAGCATTTTATGACAAAGTCAATAAACTGTGTATGGAATTTTCTTATTTACAGTGTGTGACATTGTAGAATTTTGTGTAAATCTTTTTTAATCATCAAAAAAAACCCAAACATCTAGTTTTCATCTAATTTTTTGGAGAGGATGCTGGGCATTGAAACTATTTAATCTGTACAGAGCTACATCCCTAACCCAGTCCATAGTTTTTACTAGAGAAAATGGTATGTACATTGGACCCTTGAGTTACAATGGGCCTGACATATGAACAACTTGTGTTATGATCAGAATTTTAGTTTTAACTTACAACCAAAGTCTGGAGTTATAACCCAAATGCCAGCTGCTTATGCTTCCAGATGGGCTCAGATGCAGATTTAACCTTTAAAGAGTTCTGGAAGGGACAACACAACATCCTTTCTTGTGTGGGCTATTGAGAAATCTTGGGCCAATGTCTTTCTAAGGACACTGAGATCTGCCTGTATGAAGGAGAGAGACTTTGAAGGTAGAGTAGAGGAGCCATCAAGGGACCACTGTATAGAGAAGTTAAATAATTTGAATAAGGTCACACAATAGAATCAGTGTTCAAATTGTAATTAAATTAATTTGAGTAGGAAACTTACATTTTTTATCTCAGTGAAAAATGTAATTTGTTTTAGTTTAATAGCTATAATTTGACTTATTAAAAAAGGGGATAGTGGAGAAAGCATGAAAAAAGATTCTTGAAGTTGAATACTGTACAAAACTCTAGAAGTAGGTTTTACTCTTAGTTAAATCAGTTTTTCTGTTTTCAGATTCCTTTATATGTAACTGAAAATTGTTTTAATGTAACTGAATAAATTGTCTATAGCTGGACTTTGCAGATAAAACAACGTAACTACAATATTACTAAATTACAAAATAAGTCTTAGTAAAAGTTGTTAGTTGTTCTTCACTGTGTTTGATACCATACTTTTTTTTTCAAGATAAATTTCAGCTGGGGATTTAGCTCAGTGGTTCCGCTGCCTGCCTCGCAAGTACAAGGACCCAAGTTTGATCCCCAGTAGCAACCCCCCCAAAAAAAAAGATAAATTCCAAAGGTTTAATGTACCAGATGCCACAGAAAATGCATCAAAATAATACATGAACAAGTTTTAAGAAAAATTTTCCATATATTGATATTGGTGTCTATTCAACTGATCAAAAATAGAAAGTCCCTCTCAGTTTCTCTTAATGAAGCTTTAATAGTAACAAATCTCAGAATTTTCTGTTTTTTGCCACTGCTGAAAATTAAATATACTGTAATCTCACTTCCAAAATAGATGCTTCACCAAAGTTTGATATTTAAAAATTAACATTTAGAGTGGGCTGTTTGAGTTAGGCAAAAATTATATTAAAATATCCTGTCTCTTCAAGCACTATAAAGAAAATGAGATACCATACTATTTTGAAAATTTCAGAGTTAGACAAATCTTTTTTTTTTTTCATAGTATCCGGATTTGTTTTGATAATTTGACTTATCACATAAGTGAAGTATAATTATATAGAACTTTGTGAAATGGTATTTGGATTCAACGAATGAGGTAATCCCTGTACTTATATATTACAGTGCAATGGAGAGAGGGCTAAAGAAGAAGCAATTACACATTTTGAAAAGCTGTTTGAAATTCTAGAAGAGAGGAAATCATCTGTTCTGAAAGCAATTGATGTCTCTAAGAAACTAAGACTAGACAAATTTCAGACTCAAGTGGAAGAGTATCAGGGACTTCTGGAGAACAATGGGCTCGTGGGGTATGCTCAAGAGGTGCTGAAGGAGACGGATCAGTCTTGCTTTGTGCAGACAGCAAAGCAGCTCCACCTGAGGTATTTACTTTCCACTTGAGAATCCCCTTGGCATCCCCTTGGTGTCATTAAACACCCCTGTGTATTTCAGCTTTAGTTCCCGAGTGGTTTGTAGTACTGTTAGTGTGAAATATGTACTTTGCTTCATTCTTGAGTATTGAGTGAAGTGTAAGTTTTCTTTTATTCATCATATTGCAGATGTTTAGTCTGATTTGACTTTGTAAAGAATCATGTTTATCTAAACTATATCTGTCTGCAGAATACAGAAAGCTACAGAATCTTTGAAGAGCTTTAGACCAGCAGCCCAGACTTCTTTTGAAGACTATGTTGTTAATACATGTAAACAAACAGAAGTTCTTGGAGAATTATCCTTTTTCTCTAGTGGTAAGTCTTAGACAAGGCAAAACCTCATTATTTTAGTGTGAATTTACACTGTATAGACAAAACACACAGTTCTGTTTATTTTGACATTAGAAAGCAATATTTCATTTGCTCTGGATCATCATCAAATTATGTCAGTTTATTTTTTTTGACTATATTTTTATGCACACAACTGTATTATTTTGGGTTGTGTATTTTTGAATGTTGCACAAATGGCATGTTGTATGTATCCTTTTTAAAATAGTTTTTTGAAAAGTTAAGTTTAGATAGATAGTAGTTAATATACAGTTCTGGTTTAAAACTTTACATTTTGACTATTTGTAGTACTTCATAAGTAAATAAATTAGTTCCTTCCTGAGAGACAATTTGTTTCTATTTTTTCTCTTTTTAGACAATACTGTATTGAACATCTTTGTCATTGTTTCTTTGTGTATGTGTGTTTGAGTTTCTTTAGGGCAGAAACCTAGAAATAGAACCTGTAGACTCAGACTGACTGTCTAATATGGTATTTACGTTATTGCATTAGTTTTCTAGGACTACTGAAACAGAGAACTGACCATACATGAGCAATTTAAACAACAGAACTTTTCTTTCAGTTGTGGTGGCTCAATGTCCAAGGTCATGGTGGTTTAAACAGTAGAAATCAATTTTCTCATAGTTCTAGAAATCTGGAATGAAAGTATCAGCAGGGTGGGGTTCTTCAGAGACTTTTCTCCTTGTCTGGTAAATGCAAGGGCCATCCCATCCCTGTGGCCCTTTCTTCCTTCGTACAGGTCTGTGTCCCATCTCCTCTTAGGGACACCAGTCAGATTGGATTAGGGCCTACTGCAGTGACCTCAGTTTAGTTTCCTCTTTGAAGATCTTGTCACATTGGATACAATCACATTCTGAGGGTTAAGACTAAAACACATGGGTGAGGTGGGTAAATTCAAGCTGAAGCACTTGCTGCTTGTGTGTTGCTGCTTCCACACAGGAGTCTGTCTTTCTCACATTCTCACCTCTTTCATTTTCCTGCAGTTCCTCTTCTAGTGATTGGGACTGATCAGAGTCCTTTCAAAGGTGTAGTCTAATTACCGTATAGATGTAGATTTATGTATTTGTAAATTCAAGGGAAATGTCTTATTAAAAGAAAAAAGTTCTGCAAGATTTCTGTGACTTCCTTTGTTTTAAAATCTGTACCTGAATCTGATATTTATGACTCTTATTTTTTTAGATAAGTTATTATGCAAATGCTGATTCTACTTTTTAAGCTATACTTTATTTCGAAACTGTGTACATGAGTTGTTTTGTGTTTGTATACATGTTTACATATACAGTGGTACCTCGGCTTACAAACATAATTTTTACAGTTTTGGAGAAGATGGCAGCATTTGTGTTTTTTGTGGGGAAGTTGGCTGTGATTATGTTTGTCACCCAGTGCCGCTTTTGAACAGAAGCAAAATTTTGCTGAATGCTTTTGTTTGTGAACTGAATTGTTTGCAAACAGCATTCATGAACTGAGGTATTGTGTGTATATATATACACACACATATATACACAGATACAGACATGCGCACACATACGTGAATAATACTTCACTTGTGACTCCAATATTTTCCCTTTCCTGTGGATCCCAAGGGAAGATCTAGAAGGGAGAGGTAACTGGGTAATCTTGTGTTATATCCAGTGTACAGCAGAGAACCACTGAAATACGTAGGTGGGGAAGAATGGATAGTACTCAACTCTCTTTCAACTGGTGGTTATTCCCTTCACTTTTCTTTTAAACTTTAAAATGTATTTTGGGTGACTTTGCAGATCTTAAGGCAATATAATATTCAGGAATATAAATAAACACATAGTTTTACCTTGCGTATTTGTAGCTGGGAGATAATAAAGGAGAAACCGCTCTTTATTTTGTATCCTCCACTGTGATTTCATATAAATTGCGTGTGTGTGTGTGTGTGTGTGTGTGTGGTGTGTGTGTGTGTAGTGTATGTATGCCTGAATGCGTAGCTTTTATAGCTTACTGTTCCTACCATTGTCAGTGTTAGGAATTTAGTATAAAAAAGAGGCATATGCACAATCATTCAGCTGTGATATTTAGTCATTCTGTTTTTAGTGAAATATTAGAAACCTGTTTCCCAAAATAAATAAATGTTGTTATACCCATACAGTATAATATTTTGAGGAGAAAGTACTTGCAAGATCTGTACGAAGGTGTTTTAATGATTATCTTTCAATTAAAGTTTTTATGTCTTTTCTTTATTTTCTGGTTTTCTTGTAAAATTATGTATAAAATTTATACTAAGAGAAATTAAATCTCTGAAATTCTACTGAAGAAAATATGTAATGTTCATTGAGATTTTGAGACAGTCACCAAACTTTTTAAAGTGTTAAAATTATA